GCCTTTCGTTCTGCCGCAGAACTTCTGTGTTGAATTTCATTTTCATTAACGACAACGTTGTGATTCATTCATTTTTCGTCCTTTTTGCACACTTGCATTTGCAATGCACAGGAGGCCCACATACAGCTCGACCTTATCGTGCTGCACGGATGATGATTAATCACTCTACACTCGACTGTCACGTGACTTTTTCAACCCGTTCTCTAGCTGGTCCTGAACGACTATTCGAAACCATAACCCTTTAATCTGATCCCAACCCTAACCCTAACCCAATCCTTAACAAAAGCATATGCTGAAACCCTAACTCTAACGAGAAATTAGACTAACTTCCTTATACGGTCATATCACGTGATCGAGACAGTTTTTCGCCAATATCTCGTCAGGGGAGCATTTTATTTTAACCCTATGTCATGGGGGTGATTCGGAATCAGCGTTCGAAAATACATCGATTGAATTAGGTTTCAACTGTCGGGGGCTCTTTTAGAACAATCTCGAAGATCGACTGTAGAGTGATTTAGCACGCTCGGTGCTGCACGGTGAATTTTTATTATTCACACTTAGAGGCATCTTTTGGTACCAAAATTGTATCAAAATCGGAGACAAAAATGTTGTGCCAAGTGAGCCAACTCATGGCGATTATTATATAAACTATATCAATATGAAGTATAATCATTAAATTTAAATAATACAATACAAACTATCGGCTGCTCAGTGCGAAGTTGTGAGCACATTGAAGGACCACTAGAGTTCTTAAATAGTTATATACTCATTGGACATTAAAATAAGCATCATCGACACATGAGCGGCGTAACGTTGCCTGTTGGACCCCCCCCCCCTCTGTTGGCGCCCCCTCCCCTTTTGGCGCCCCTTCCTAAAATTGAAAAAATTTGGTGATTTCAGAGGATACGCCGGTAAAATCTCTAAAAAAGTGTGTTTCAGTTTTGCTAGTACATCAGTTAAGCTTTGCTAGTACCTCAGTTAAGCTTTTCCCACATGATTCAAACGACGATTTGCCACGCCCCTAAGATGGCGCCCCCCTCACAGCGGGGTCAGCTGGGCCTGGCCTTTCGTTACGCCACTGCATTGACAGAGGAGATGCCGAAAGTATATCATATGCTTTTAGTTTTACGGTCCAAATTCAAAGACTTAAAATGCACTTAACTTAGATGTCATAAGCTCAATACTATCGATGTGTAGAATGACATTCATTTTAAATTTAGGCTGGTTGACGGTTGTGAAGATCCTTCTTCCAGTGGTTAAAACAAGTTTCGTGTATGTGTTCACGAGCCGCAAGGGTGTGGGGTAGGTGTGGCTTAGCGACAGTGCTCGTCTTGATGATAGTAGACCATGCATCATACGGGTAAGGTTCAATTGTTTCTGCTCCTGATATGTATGGTGCAAGAGGGTGTTCACGTTACCTACTACCGCTTGTGATGCTCTACAGAAGTAGGCAATACATTGAGGGAGGATGGTCACTGTCCAGGGGGTTCTACCTGTATCGCCGTAGCAGAAGTTGTTATTTGCCTTTTTGTGGACACCCAATATCCATTTAAGAATTTTCAAGTGAGTAGTTTCAAGAGCATCTTTTGCTGCTGGCGCTGCTTTGGGAAGACTCGCTTCTTGATTTTTCGAGAGGATGGCTTTAACGATGTTAGTTGATGGCAGCCAAATAGGGCATTCATATATGGCCACTGGATTGACTAAGCTATCAATGAGAGTTTTAGCATCATGCTAGTGGTAAGGGCTCTCGTGTCAATAGTTCGTCTCATAGAGAAGAATGAGCGAAGAGCTTTCTTCCTAAGTTCATCGATTGCTTGTTTGAAGGAACCGTTCAGAGAGAATTGGATGAGTGACCGACAACTGAACCCAATTGAACCTAGTTCCCACGCAGTTTACAGGCACCCAATCAGCTTAATTGGGTGACCAATTAGCTTAAATCCTAAAACGACAACTGAACCCAGCTCAGGTCATATCACAACTGCACCCAAATTGGAAATACGACAACTGAACTCCAACGATCGGGTTTTCAGATTCTCCTTATTCGCAGGGGACTGTGGTCATTATCACTATAGGATCGATCTTGATCACTGTAATTTAGAGCATTGGAGCCCTGTGCTTAGCCCGGTAAAATATCAACTTAATAACACCAGAATGTGTGTGTGTCTGTGTGTCTGTGTGTGTGTCTGTGTGTGTAATTTCCGAACAGTTATACAAAAAAAACGGTAATAGTTACGGGACTGGTTTTTTTCGGTATAGTGCCGACAAAACTCTGATGAAGCCCATAAGAAAATTTTATAAAAATCGGCCGGTGGTAAGTGGTTTAATTGATGATTTTGTTCCAGAAATGTGACATAAATGGATGGGAGAGAGAACGAGGAGGATAACATGTACCGTAATTAGTTTAGCCCCACGTAATATCAGAGCTCACTCTTGCGGCCGCTTTGTTTTAACTGTAGGGAGATTTCATACTTTCATAAGACAGCATTATGCGTGATATCAAATATATAATGCGGTTGTATACTTTTACATTGCAACTGTGACAGTAAATTCCCGGCCGAAGGCACGGGTTACACTAGTTAATACATACAATTACATGCTACATGAAGATTGACGAGGTCTCCTCATAGCCATTGCTAAGTACTTTGGACACGATGTTGCTGCTTACAGCAGAATTATATTTTGATGACTTAATGTATGCGATTTTAAGTAATAATTATTATACAGGGTGGGCCAAAAGTCAGTACCCATACGTTGGCCTTAATAGCTCCGCCCTGTTGTATATTTGAGAGCTGTTGCTTTGCAGATGGCATACTGTACTAACTGGTTCGAGGATTCCGTCGTCAAAATTTGAAAATTCGAATATTTTAGACCACGCCCATTCAATATTAAAACACCTATATCGTTTTCTCTGAACATGCTGAACGCCTAATTTTTTTCAGAGACGGTAGATTATCAAATGTTGCATATGATCTGAAAACATGAGGCAAAACGGATTAGAAATGACAAAGTTATCAAGCATTTTCTGTATCTCGTTAACAAAATTGACTGGGTGATTATGTGACACCGTGACACGACACCTTAATTGGGCACCCTTAACAATTCCCATAATGTTTAACGGGGTAGTTAACGGGGTCACCTTATCACGTGATTAGGTAAACCAATCACCTGATCACACGTAATGAATAAACTCGTTATGCTTCATATCTCGGTCATCTGAAAAGCTAAAGTTCTAATTCTTTCAGAACAAACGTAATTCGAATGGCCAAACACAATTCAATAATATTTAGCTTGATCCGACTATCCAAACTATCAAATAAATGTGAAAATGAACTTCCATTTGAAAAAAATGAACGCAAATATTTTTCGAGTTGACAAATTCCTCGAACCAGTGGTGGTACTAAGTCATACCAGAAGGAAGTATTTAAATTGGGCACTCAGTGACTGAGCTATAAAGGCCAACGTATGGGTACTGACTTTTGGCCCACCCTGTATATTTACATTTTTACCTATTTAAATTAACATTAATGAAATATTGTCTCCGAAATTATAGCACTAGAAACCAGGCAGCAGCTAAACTAGAACGGTATTTGGACACCTGTTTATCTGTTAGTCATTTCTAACTGACTATTGGGTTCAGTTGTCGTTTCAACGTTAATTAGGTAGACTGATTGGGTTTACAATTATTTTCCCAAGCTACCCTGTCTAGGAAAAGTTCAAATTGGGTTCAGTTGTTGGGTAGCCAATTGGATTCCAAGATAGCAGTATTTTCTGACTGGTGCGATGTCCAAGTTGCCTAGTTTGAAGCCGTAAGCACATTTCAGTATTCGTGAGCTTGTGTTAAAAGGTTAATATTGTTTGTTGATATTCACAGATAGCTCCCACTTTTCGGCATAGCCATGCAAGCAATTGAGCAGTTTCTGTAAGCTGTCCGCAACCAGTGCTATAAGAGGACCAGGTCATCTACCCATAGGAGGTGACTTACTTTGACACCGTTTAATAAAGGTAAATCCAATGATAGTCTGATAGCTAGAGCTCGTGGATATAGAGTTTGAAGAGCTCGGGGGACATCGGATGTCCTTGTTCTGTGCCGAAGGTGACGTCAATGGCTGCGGATAGCTTTTGAAATATATATATAAATTATATATATATATCCATAGACACAGTGTTTCGTCCTATTAGGACTCATCAGTATGGCTCTAATATATATATACTTATTAATACTTTCAACACTACTATATAACAAATAATTTGAGGATGACTGTAAAGGTACATTTTACCGACATTTGAAGTCAAGGCGTTGTTTTACTGACAGTTGTGGCTGACTAACAATATATATATATATATAATTTATATATCTTCTCAAGATGTTCAGCGGTGAGTGGGCTCTTTATCTTTTGGTCGACTACAAATCTCATTCGAGAATTATGAATGGCTCGTAAATCGTTTGTGATTATCAGGGGTACTCCGTCTCCAGTTGATGGATCAGAAACTATTTGAATTGTGTCTTAAACAAAACGGTTTATTGTACTTGTAGGCGTTACCACTTAATAACGACTATTACTAAGGTGCGATTGTTTTAAATGTTAAATGGTTTCAGTAGAGGGCTGGTACAAAAAGCAAAACAGAGGCTCGTACTCAGTTTAAATTAAATGACTTTCAGTTTGGTTGAACTTAAAATATAAATGCTAGCTAATGTTGTATTCCGAGAAATCCGGCTTCAGCTGCACTCAAATAATTTGTGGAACGATATCTCAAGAACTGTACGATTTGGTAGCATCTACAATTTTGTCGGTGGAAACGTTTAAAATTATTCTTCACTCAGCTTTATTCGACAAATGTTTGTAAGTGCCTAAACAGTAAACTTATGTTATATATTATGTCCATTATAAAGTGATCTGCCGGGAATAATCATAAACGGTTTGGTCTATGTCCCATTAAATTTAAAGACACAGCTATTCGCATGACTTCATGTTTGGAATGATAAAAAGCAAAACTTAGGATGCTTGAACGGTATATCGTTTTATCACTATACATAAAATTATATTATAAACCAAATACCACAAAAATCACGGACCATAACAAAACATGAAACACAATCAACTAAACAATAAACCAATCAGCGAAGTAGAATTCTGTCACTTGAAGATCATTATGACTAGTTAGTTGATGCGTGTTTTAAGCGGCGGCAGCAAACCCGACCCTTTTATTGCCCATGTCGAAGACAGTGTAGTAAGGACCTAGGAAAACATCCCCCAGGATCCAGAGAGGGCCAGCAGGTGCGGGGATGTCCATACCAGTGATGCCGAGGAGACACTGAGTCTGTCCTAGCTCTGTTACCTGGTGGGGAGAGGTGGTTCAAGTCTCAGTTGCTGAATTTATTTAATTAATCAACTTATCAATAAATCAATCTCTCCTGGTAAATTCTTAAATGGTATTATATTTCATAGCTGTACGATAGGGTTGTTTCTATAATACAAATCGCGAAAAATTGATCGTTTTGCGTTGTGAATACGCTCATTGAAAGTTTTTTTCAATCGTTTATAAGTAATGATTGTGATTTTGGAGCCGCTTTAGGATCGTCGTTTAAAAAAGATAAAACATGAATGAACAATTAAATTTCTTGCAAGATTTCCATGTTTTTACTGGACTTTAAATTTTAGTGTGACGGAACTCTTGTGCAGTTTTTTGTCGCTTGATTTCTGCTTCCATCTCGAGAACTGTTGTATTGATACAAAATTCTTGAATTCGTTCAAGCTTCAGGGGATTAATTTTAAAACAAACAGAAGTTTTCAGTTTATATGTGTTTATCGTCTTCAGCAGCTAGTTGTTATATGCCCCCAGCTTTCTAAAGCTGCTATATTATACCGAAACTACCATTAAACAAATTTGAGAAAAACGTCACTTTATAATGTGTTTTAATGGATTTCTGAGATGAGAGCAAATGGCATGAACATGTTAGGGGAACTAGTCCTGCGTTATATCTTTGCTTTGAACACTCCAACTTCAAAGCTCTAAAGTTTCCATTTTGATTCACGTTCTGCGTTGAATTTCATTAACGTTGTGATTCGTTTTGTTCTGCTCAAGATGACCATACCAATATAACTATCAGTTGGATTTCAGTAACCAGTCCGCAATACTATCACAAAGCTGCCGCTGATTCGATGCCGTCTATTAATTAATCTATCTAGTCTATAAAGCGATAAGGTGGCAATTTGAGCTGATGCTCAAGAGAACTCTTGCAGCTAACTTATTCTTCCGCAGAAGGGAAACAAAACTGCATTTTTAAAATAAATGATAAAATTCTACGATATCTTATGGGAGGGTGAAATTTCCAAATTTCAATAACTTCCAAATAAAATAAATTTCCAAATTTCAATAACACACCTGGATAGACGTTTTACGTACGATTTCCTTAACCACTTACCATACCTAAACTGGGAGTTGCAGGTGGAACAGAAGCCAAGTCGTCAGGTGGTAATAAGTCTTTATAACTTGACTGAGTTACAGAGACTAATAAGTCTTTATAACTTGACTACCGAGGGTCCTTAACGAGTCCCTTTATTTGATCAGTTATCAGGCCAAAAATAACTATAAAGAGGCGTTACCATTATCAGTCACGCCATTCCGCATCTCCAGGAGTATACTGTTTACGTGAGTAAAGCGAACCATAGGGGTAATAAGAGGCATTAACCTTACTTGCAGAATGGTCAAATAACAAAACTTAAGAACACCTGATCGTACGAGGTATATTCGCTGTTCAGGTGACATACCATTATATTGTCAGACCATTTATATATTGTCTATATTAGGTTATCAGTACGACTACGAACTTGTACGATGTAACCGCTGTTCAGGCAACAGACCATTAGTAAAGTCGCAGTTATATGATATTGATAACCAGCCTAGGAGTTAAACAATCACTACCTTAGTAATTAGCTTAAGTACTATACTGTTAACTGTGACGTAAAGTGAGGGGGTTGGTTCCGAGGTTGTATCACGTTTGTTCATATTACGTGCCATCACCACGTTTACTTAATATACCTTTAAATGTCCTGTGGTTTTATCTTGCTGTTCCACTCTCTCTTCTATTCGTAATTTTTTTCTCGTTTCTATACGAGGTGGGGAAATGTCCGCACGATTTTCTGAGTTTAGCGGCCCCATCAGCCATCCGAACTAGGGTCCCGCCCGGGACCAGTTCTACTAACCTTGAGAACATATTGGTCTGCAGTGAGTGTGAACTTAGTCCCTCCGATCATAATAGTAAACATTGGTAGGCTCTTTATCTGAAAATAATAGTGAGGTAACGGGTGGCAGACAACTGAACCCAATTGAACCTAGTTCCCACGCAGTTAACAGGCACCCAATCAGCTTAATTGGGTGACCAATCAGTTTAAATCCCAAAACGACAACTGAACCCAGGTCATATCACAACTGCACCCAAATTGAAAATACGACAACTGAACCCAAGGAAATACGACAACTGAACCCAACGATCGGATTTTCAGGTTCTCCTTCTTCGCAGGGGACTGTGCTCATTATCACTATAGGATAGATCATGACCACTGTAATTTAGAGCATTGGAGCCCTGTGCTTACCCCGGTAAAATATTAATACATACATGCTACATGAAGATTGAAGAGGTCTCCTCCTAGTCGTTGGAGTGGCCTGCATCACACACATCTCTTCTACGGTGTTCCACTAGTTTTAGAGCTAACTGTTTTACTGCGTCTCTGCTGATGTTATCGACACCTGTCAGCCGCATCCTCGAGAACACAAGCCATCCAGCCTTTACGGAGTCGTCCTCTCAGTCTCTTCCCATAGTTTGGTTTCTAATCCAGTAAAAAATTGGGAACCTGTGTCTCTGGCATTCTGGCAACGTGTCCGTCTAGCTTTGAAAGTTAGCCTTGTAGATACGGATCTTGATGGGCGTTCTTATAGTTCCACTGTTTCATGTCTTCCAAAGCTGATGGAACGCACCATTAGCACGCTGGATACTTGGCTCAGGTTACTTGACTCCGATCTCGTGACTCCTGATGCTTTGGGAGGGCCTGCCATGGTTCAGATCTTGAGCCCTGGGTCTCGATGCTTGAGGAGCAGTGGATCGTATCCTTTTCGGCACGCTTCGTGAACACTGAACACGTAAGCTTGTTAGATCAGATCTCGCGATCGAAAGACACCTGAGACCTTGTCATCTATTAGTACGAAAGGATCGAGATACCCCTACTACCTCTACTTGGAGATGCCAGAATTACAGAACCAAGAAATGTCCTGCTCATGTATTCCTTGACCATGGAGATCAGTCCTTGGCCAGCGGTGCCAAACCTCATTCCCACGACCCTGACAACTTAGTAGCTGAGAAAGCAGAGTTCAGAGCAGAATTGAAGCGGAAAGCTGCCGACCAACACCTCTCAGCAACCCAAAACCTCCTCACCGAAGCCTTATCTACATGCCCATCCGAAATCAACGTGGTACTACCTAAACTAGAATCCCTTGCCAGAATTGTCCAACGATCACGAGCAGATAAGTCCGGATCTGCCAACCACTCCGAAGCACCAACCTCAACAGACCGAAATTATAGCACTAGAAACCAGGCAGCAGCTAAACTAGAACGGTATTTGGAAACCTGTTAAACTGTTACTGTTAGTGATTTATAGTGACGATTGGGTTCAGTTGTCGTTTCAAAGTTAATTAGGTAGTCTGATTGGGTTTATAATTATTTTCCCAAGCTACCCTGTCTAGGAAAAGTCCAAATTGGGTTCAGTTGTCCGGTAGCCGAGGTAACATTTACAAAACTTAACATTTGTATGATTATAAACAGCGTGAAATTAGAGTAAATATTTGTTCTTCTTTTTTCTCTAGTGTATAATTAAGTGTATTTAACGAACTTAGTGATTTAACTTAGTGATTTAACGAACCTTGGTACAGTCTATGATAGCAACTCCGCTAACTGGGGTAGCTCCAGCTGCTGCGTAGATCTGAGCTACTTCGTGGGTAGGTCCAGTCATCAGACTGGTTCCCGTATCAGCAATAGCGTTACACCCACCTCAGAAGGTATTGTTATTATTTTATACAAATTTTCGGTGTCTTAAAATTAGCAAAATTTCAGATGACAAAATTGTTAGTTCGTTGTCCGTTCAAATTTTGGCGGACGTCCTAAGTAGATAGCCTCTTAGACTTAAGTGTTAATTTTAATGTCCGTTCAAAATCATGTCCGTTCAAGCAATGTCTGTTTAAATAACGTCCGATAAGGCATCTGCAGCACGTGGGTATAAGAAAGAGCAAACCCAGCGCCGTGATGTAACGGTCAGCTGGGGGCTCGACATTCGAGGAGACTCTGACTAGTTTGTTTTTTCTGTGACACATTTCCCGCCCCTAAGATCTTGAGTTTAAGTGATTTATCTTACATCAATGCGTGATTTTCTTTATTTGATGATATTTTATTCGACTCATACGATACTTTAATACTTTTACTTCGCCTGGTGTCGTGGCGATCGAAGTGAATAATGATATTGAGATATTATGCAACACCTCATTTCCAAAATGAGGTTGAGGATCAATATGATATTACTTCTACTTTAACCGAAAACCATTGTAGTGTTTTAGTATTAATTAAACTCCCAGTACTAATTAATTATATTAGACGGTAAATCACAGTTAGATATTTAAATCGCTTACAAATCCTTCGATCATCCAACACCTTATATGTTATTGAATTGCGATTATAATTTTGCAGTTACAATAAAGGGTGATACTATTCTTTCAACCCTCGCGAGAACTCTCATACACAAGTCCCTTGACCTAGTTGACATAGTATAGCGATAGCCTCTAGACTCCGAGATCTTTTTTTTTTATTTTAAATTTTTTTAAGAGAGGTTGAGTCTGCACAGAGGGGTCTGTCTCCAAACAGAGACCGACAACATCTCCCTGATCTCACCTGCACAGAGGGGTCTGTCTCCAAACAGAGACCGACAACATCCCCCTGATCTCACCTGCACAGAGGGGTCTGTCTCCAAACATCATCCCGTCCACTTTAAACTCCCAGTAGGCAGACAGTGTGACTGGAGCCCAGGTAAAGTTACCAGTGTAGTGAGCAGGATCCATACCTCCTAGAGTCAGTTCTCCTCCATCTTCTCCCTGTTAAAGTAGAGTGGTAAAGTAGGATTCTCCTCCTGTTGATCAAAGAAGTACATATAAATACTTCATATCATTATTAGAGGACTACTGACTTACTGATATCCAGTATTTTAATATAGACGTAGTGGAGGGTTAAACTTAAGCTGGTTTCAACCTCAGGTTTTTCTCAAATACCCCGTTAAGCAGTAACTTTTGTCACCGCACCCGACCTTCACTGCTATGTATTATTCCACATCGTTGTCAGCAAATTTTACATGATTCATCTTGTATCACGTCGTGACACCCATTGTCGTTTCACGGGGTGAAAGTCACGATACAGCCGCGCACTCGTGCACGGCGGGCCTACAACGTGAGGCAAGATTCATCTAGCTGAACACTGCAGTATTGCTTAATTGCTCCGGTTGAGGAAGTGGCTTGTGTCTCATTTCATAACATCCCTTTAGGCGAAATTATAGTATGATAATTAATATTATTAATCTAGATTTTTAGCTTGTGTGTTGATAACAGTTGCTCTCTTCGGGGAGCTGGTGGCTCAGTTGGTAAATCCGCCTGGCATTGCTTGAGGTACCAGGTTCGATTCCCGACTCTGCCATTAGCCTTGGGCTTGGTGGTGTAGTGTCGGGCAGCGCGGCCAGCGATCGTTAGATCGCTGGTTCGAGCCCCAGCCCTGCATCGTTTAACTTTATCCCCCCCTGCTGTGTGGAAACAGCAGAGTAAACCACACCAATTACAACAAATCGAAAACTACACTTAGTTCTGAGAATAATTCTCTCGGAGGCGGGTGTATGTGAGTAGAAACCGTGACGACGCTTCCAATTAACCCACCCCAATTGCAACAAACACACAATACACACAATATATATAATAACGTGTACACATTGCCGTTACATCCGATAAGACGAGCAAATACATTACTAAGCCTTATGCACGTCACCAATATATACCAGTTACACTAAATACACCAAAAAATTAACTCCTCGGCATCGACTTGTGGTTGTGTGTAAGATTAATGGCTTAGCAAGGAGTGAGTATAAACGCATATCAAATATAAGTATGCAATCCCTGGGATCTACGGCAGTCATTCTTAGGAGGGGCGCCCCCGACCCAACTGCCATTGCTCAGCAATGGTACCAGCAGGTTCGTCCTGGAATAGTGGACTCGATGCAAATCAGCTGGGCTTCAGTAGGACCCATCGTTCTCATGGGTCGCTTGCTCGCAAGAGTCAAGTCAGAAACCGACTAAGAAAGTTATGTCAAAGTTATTGTACAGTGTGTACAGAGATGTGAAACAATTTGTCAGAGAAGCTGTCAAAATGAAAGAAGATGTGGAGGAGTTGAAGAGCTCTCTTATTCGGTCACAAACTTCGGTGATTAAACTGCAGAGTGAACTTCTTGAGGGCAAATCAAAGCAGTTGGAATCTGTTCAGACCACCGTAAAATCTGCCGTTCAGGAAAGTGTACAAGCTGAGATCAGGTCATACAGTAAAGCTGTTTCGAAGGTCCCGCCGGAAACTGTACTGACAGAACGGAGCTTGAAAAATGTAGTTCAAAGTGCTGTATCGAAAGAGGACCGCAGTAGGAATTCGGTCGTGCTTGGTTTAATGGAGACAGATGATGAGAAACTATCCGATAAAGTAGACGAACTGCTTGAACAAATCGAAGTAAAACCACGCTATGAAGCTGTCAGGATTGGAAGGAGATTAGCCGACAAGACCAGACCTGTCAAAATTTCGGTCACAAACACCAATGTCCAATAATGTTCACGAGATATTATTGAAATCGAAGAAACTGAAACTGAGTCAGCACCACAAAACAGTCTTCATTTCTCCATATCGGTCAACTGAGAAGCAAACCGAACACCGTCTGCTGGTATTGGAAATGAAACAGAAGGCAAAGGACGATTTGAATAGACGCTATTATATCAGAAGTGGTATTATTTGTTGTGAGGACAAAATCCTAGACTAATTTAAATTATTTACGACATTGTCATATTCATTTTCATGCTAGTCTTTTCCACTCACCCTTTAGAGCCGCTCTGACATGGTTAGTAGCTGGCACTTGTGCCAGCTGCTAAGCATATGGGCGGGATATAAGCACATTATTTCATTTCATTTCATTTTATACCTTCGCACTGTGAGAGCTGCTCGCGTGGTTATGAATGAACATTTGAGGTTATTTGTGCAGCTCGACAGGAGTACGAAAGTATTATCTGTATAACGTCCCGGAGGATTTTATAATAAATAGTAGAAGGATCAGTATTATAAGATTATAGATTAAAATATAGATAAGATAATAAACTATAAAGATAATATAAGAAACTATAACACTCACGTCGAGTTTGCGATTGAGCCAGAACGCGAACACAGGCTCATCTACAAGACTCTGATCAATCATATTGTTAAAGACAGGAACAGCTCCAGTAACAGCTATAGTAGGGAATCCCATCCCGAGTATACCATCAAACTGAAACAAATCTTCCTTTAATAATTAATAATATCATACATCAAATAACTGGAGAAGGGTTAAATGCGATGTTTTAAAGAATATTCAATATATCATACATTGAATAATCTAATTCTGAGAAAAATAAACATGTTCAGACTCTGTAAAAGTATTATAATACTTTGGCAGGTTACCACACAGTACACAGGTGACATTTTCTTATTGTCTATTAAAATCGGTAAATGAGAGGTCAGGAAGCACTTTAAAAAAAATGCAGGTTTTATAAACGTCTACTAACAGCTCATGAGTAATTAATAATTTTTAAGTAATCTATTAAAATACAGGGTGGGCCAAAAGTCACTGGACATACGTTGGCCTTAATAGCTCAGTCACTGAGTGACCAATTGAAATAATTCTTTCTGGTACGACTTACTACCAGTACCACCACTGCACTGGTTCGAGGAATTTGCTAAATCGAAAAATATTCGAGTTCATTTTTTTCAAATGAAGGTTCATTTTTGCATTTATTTGATAGTTTGGATAGTCGGATCGAGCTAAATTTTATTGAATTGTGTTTCGCCATTCGAATTGCATTTGTCCTGAAAAAAATAGAGATTTTTCTCAGATGGCCGAGATACGAAGCATAACGAGTTTATTCATTGACATTACGTGTGATCAGGTGATTGGCTTACCTAATACCTGATCACGTGAAAAGGTCACCCCGTTAACCACCCCATTAAACATTATGGGATTCGTTAAGACTGTCCAATTAAGGTGTCGTGTCACGGTGTCACATAATCACCCAGTCAATTTTGTTAACGAGATACACTTCGTCATTTCTAATCCGTTTTCAATTAGCGGTTTCAATTAGCGGGTGCAAAGGATGGGGAAGCGATTATATTTATAAGCGCTTATAAGCGCTTTTCTAATTTTTATAAATCATTAAGCAATACACCGCTCAAGATCATACGTTGCTGCCTTCTTTGTTGCCAGAGGCCGAGGAGTTTGGTGTTCTTACCGTAACAAATAGGCGATTATAAGCGCGTTTCCAGAATTATTAATCCAGTGTAGTAGCTATAGCATGCACTGCTCTTGAGTTCACAGACATATGTACAATTATTGTACATGTGGACTAGCTGGAGCGCCCTCGATTATCTGGTCTTCGAATAATATTTCTACCTATTTAATCTAATAGCTGACAGTTTTTCCTACACGGGAATACCAAGTTTTTAAACAATTGGGGATGTTAAGAATCATAGGTAGCAAGTTGGTTGAAAATTACAAGTCGGGAGTCACGTGACCGCGTTTAGGTGTTAAGTCTGTTAACTGTTAAGTGATCCAGCAATCAAATGCGTCCAAAAATTAAATCAATTCCGCATCAAACAATGAAAAATCACCATTTTATCATTTATAAGGTTTTATTAATTCCCCGGCACATGTAATGTATGCCAAATTAAATATAAATATAATCGATTAAAATATGGACATGATGAGGATTTTAATCGATTATAATGGATCATTTATTGTGAGGAGTTGTGACCTTCTAAAGCTACTTAAATGGTTACTAAACAGAACGAGTAGCAAAATGTGGCTGAGCACCGCCCATCTTCATCCTTTTAACTTTTTAATCTAGATGTAATCATGTTGCACACTTAACCTAGTACAGCTTGCTTCAAAATCTATGAAGTATTGATTCGTCAAAGCTTCAACAAGACCGTTTCAGAGTCTTATTGACGTACTGCGAGGCTTGTGAACACATTTTCGCTCTTTTCTCTTTGTCACGTGACCAGTGACCATGGTCGCATACACAGAATCATCAGAAATTCTCTAAACATCTTTCCTCTTTACTGCAACATTTTAATGCTATTCTCAAATTTGGTGCACAGTCTAACTTCCGTTGTCAGACGTCTGGGTTAGCATTCGTTATTTCAGTATTTATACTTTATTAAGTTACAGTTTATTATTGCTGTTACATAATTTCGGGATAAACTTTGAAAATTTGAAAAATCTTGATAAGAAGCAGTTGCGTAGGTACTTTGTTCTTTCTTGCTAATGCTTTTTCAACTACAGTATTTCTACGAGACATACTACAATTCCCTTGTTTTTAGAGTAAAGATGCCATTAACGAGAAAAACTAAAAGCAGCTGTAATTTCTCGGAATTTATAAAATTCACATTATGAGTAAATTCCCACCTTACCTCTTTGAATCCATTAGAAGGGGTGAATAGATCTTTTAAAAGGATATATAAAATGCATTTAGATGATTTAATATGTGTGACGTGGTATGAACACAAATTGGACAGCTTATTTTAACTAAGAGATTTTTCACTAGGGTTGATAATTTCAACACTGCTTAGCCACTTCATCTTCCTATAAAGCTATAAGTAGTTAAGTATTCTAGGTTGAAGCTTATTCATTTTAATCCCTATCTATTTCCGGCCACCCGCCACCAGGTTCAATAATTAAATGAGGGTTTTTATTTTAATATTTCATTGCAATTTTAATTAAGAGATTTTTCACTAGGATTGATAATTTCAACACTGCTTAGCCATTTCATTTTCCTATAAAGCTATAAGTAGTTAGGTATTCTAGATTGAAGCTCATTCATTTTAATCCCTATCTTTTACCGGCCACCCGCCACCAGGTTTATTAATTAAATGAGGATTTTTATTACAATATTTCACTGCCACTCTAAGCTTAAGGCTTATATCTACACAATTCTCTGCGCAGTGCTTACCAACAAAATACTTCGATTTCTACCGCCCTGTAAGTATTTCAAGATTATTATTAATTTGTTATTAAAAATAAACATGAGTGGAATAATAAGATGACTGATCAATAGAATAAACTATTTCTTTTGTATGGACTCATGTTATTCTTATATTTAGTGTGATATGAACGATACATATAATATTTGCTGATATTGTCTGAATATATGAGTATCATAATACCTTACGAAATACGAGGCATATTTAAATGGTACGAAAGTCGGTGATTTTTCGAAAAAAACTCCATATTTTCGGACTACCAAAATTTAGGTCACCATCATTATTTTTTCACGTATTTTCCTTAATCATGACTTTATTGATTTACTTTCAACTTATCAATATACCTAGTAAGTTATAAATGTGATTTATCAAACAATTAATGGACACTAGTATTCGATCATGAATTGCTTTTAAAATGATTTTGGACACGTTCCATTAAAAATAAGCAAGCTCTATCACTACTTTATTGGCCACGGCGGTGAAATTTCGGGAGTAGTGGAAGATAAAAAACACTGTCGGTCTCCTATACACTCTGGAGGATTATAAGTTAAGTTGAGGCTAACTTTCAAAGGCTCTGGAGAGATTGTTTACAAGATGAAACAGCTGATCAGAGAAGATCTTTGTATTTAATTTTCTCAAATAATGGGTTTCATTTTTGCAAAATAAGGAGATGAAAAAAATCTCCAAATACCATGATTTAATTTGGGGTACGAAATGTGACGGTTTTCGGAAGAAATTCCCATATTTTCGTTCCCAAATCATTTAGGTCACCGGAATTATGTCGAGCATAAATATGTCTCGTAAGGTATACAATATATACATTTATGTAATATCCCATTGAGGCACATGCCAACCAATCATAAGTTTAATAATACTACTAGTTTGCACTCTGGATCGGATATCATGCTCCTAGATCTCATATGTATTGTTTAAAACCTTTAGATTATATTAAACAATCAGGAAAATGTGTGGGTAGAAGAATAATAATCTCTATATACAAAATAAATTGATAAAACTCACCTTGGCCGCTAAAAAACTATATCCTGGCTCCTTAATAAAACTCACCTTGACCGCAACTAAAGTATATCCTGGCTCCTTAATAAAACTCACCTTGGCCGCAACAACAGTATATCCTGGCTCCAAAATAAAACTCACCTTGACCGCAACAAAGATAAATTCTGGCTCCTTAATAAAACTCACCTTTGCCGCAACAAAAGTATGTCCTGGCTCCTTAATAAAACTCACCTTGGCCGCAAAAAAGTATATCCTGGCTCCTTAATAAAACTCACCTCGGCCACAACAACAGTTTATCCTAGCTCCATAATAAAACTCACCTTGACCGCAACAAAAGTATATCCTGGCTCCTTAATAAAACTCACCTTGGCCGCAACAAAAGTATATCCTGGCTCCTTAATAAAACTCACCTTGGCTGCAACAAAAGTATATCCTGGCTCCTTAATAAAACTCACCTTGGCCGCAACAAAAGTATATCCTGGCTCCTTAATAGCCTCTGCAAACAGCTGGCCTTTAATAGTCATATCGCCCATCTTAACATTGTCCTTGCTGATGTATCCTGAAAATAGAAATACTCGATACTATTGATAAACTAATAACAACACTACAAATCTATTATGTTTATTGATGACGTTACAGAAGGAATTGATTTAATGCAGTCCGAGGAGTCCTAACTGAAACTCTCCTTGTGTCCTAAGATGGCGTTTTTCTCGTCTGATATATTATTATTAACATACGAGAATGTTGATTGACATATTAGCGTATTTAAACTTAACTCTTATATACCTTTACGTAAAGTTAATACCGTTAAAGTTATATCGTTACGCAAAGTTAACGGCGTTACCCATAATATACCGTTCAGTTATTCGCTATAACTCTAATACACCATTTTAGCTATTTTACTTCCCCAATACTTATTACTCTTAATTTTTTGTCCACTACAAGTTTTACAAATGTTTAAGATATGTTTACCGACTTGTACTAATAAACCATTTATTAACTTATACTTATAGTACGAAATAAAAGTTAAGATACAAAACGTGGGCTTATAGCATCATTATTTGGTTTTGTCAGAACCTAGAAATATAGTGCCAGGAGCTGGTTTTGTAGTTGGAAAGTGCTTTTAAGAAAGAGTGGGGGCTCAACTTTCAAGGCTCATACTTTGCGTTAACAAGGCGACTTGTCACAGACGGTTTATACATTTTATGATATGTGATGATTGCTTGTGTTCCAAATGGACTACTGAATGTGCTTTATAATCCTGTTCCTTCTACGGAAGGAGCCTGAATTGGCAAAATCACGAAATCTCTGTCTTTTTAATTTTTTTCCAACTATAGTGCTGCAGATATTTTCCCATGATATTGTTAGCATTTATCTATTTAATTACAATCAGTACTACAGAATGCAGATATAGTACCAGTCGCTAAGAGCTAAGTACAGGAGGCATGGCTGATATGCTGCAGCATACTGGAACAGTAGAGTGCCATGGTAATATAACGACCGCTATTGTCTCGTTCTGCAAATATATCTGTATTGTATATGCAGGGTGGCAGCGTCCATTTAAAACAATTAATTGGGCAGGGGTCAGCCAATAAAAGTCGCGAAATAATGGGGCAACGTTGAATATTCCGCTAGGGAGAATTAATAGATTTTGAGTGCTCTGTAAACGGAAAAAAGTCCATTAGAGTTTATCGGGTCTAGTTTTCACTCGTAGGTGGGAACACCATGCACGTACTAGTACTAGTATTACCGGTTATTACCACTGTAGCAGGTAGTTGTAAGATTGGGACTATATAACTTACTGGGCCACGCTCAGCCTGTCATTCCGCCGAATCTCTATTCTATGTTTATGAACATGATAGCCTGAGGTTCCCAGGTAATATATAACAAGGTACTTTTTCTTGCGGCCAAGGTGAGTTTTATTAAGGAGCCAGGATATGAGCAGGTTCCAATCAGGAAATCTAAGTTTGACCCATATCTATGTATATTCTCTGAAATTTTTAAGCAATTCTGATACGAATTACGTGAGTTATTAGAGGGTTGTTGGTTGTGTGTGGGTAGTTACTTCTTGGCCACCCTGTACACTGTATATAATATGTGGTAACCAGGGCCGGGGTAACACTAACTAGTGTTAACCAGTCATAGTAACCAGGGGTGACCAGTGGTATATGTAACCAGTCATGCTGTCTTGGTAACCAGGGGTAGCCAGTGGTAACCAGTGGTATCCAGTGAAGCAGCGAATTATTATTAACGCGCCGTGACAGCTCATGCCTGAGAAATTTAATTAAAACGCGAAATTTCCGTTAACTTATACATTTCGTAACACTTATAATTCCCTTACCGGTGAGACTCCCTGTTCCATACTGTATTGAGAAAGTGGTTCCGTTTTTCTGAAAGGTCGATGAAGAAGAATCCTTGTATCTCCTACGAGGGATTATCAGTGTGTTAGATAGACCGGTAGACCCGCTAATATTTGATCGGGGGGGGGGGGGGGGGGGGGGGTCCAATGGCATAAAATGGAGTATTACCCAAGGGTTTAAAAAACGCAATTTTGGACTCGAGGGTTCCCCTTTGTAATGCGATCTCGGAAGGCAGGCCTGCCCTTCGCAATATGAGCTCGATGCGGGAGCTTTTCCTTTAGAGGTATCAATCGAATAACTCGGGCCGAAACTTTTTTAAGTCAAAAATTTTAAAAGTTTTTCTGGAAACTACTTTTGTCCATGTTTCATGCTACCCTGATCAGTATGAGCCGAAAATATTTTTTCGGTTTTCGAAGTCCACACCTACCATTCGATATACAATTTTGGACTCGAGGGTTCCCCTTTGTAATGCGATCTCGAAAGGCAGGCCTCCCCTTCGCAATACGAGCTCGGAAGCGGAAGCTCTGCCGTCAGAGGTATTTATCGAGATTGACTCGGACCGAACACAATATCTTTGTCTATATCATATGTGCTGTTTGTCTTAAGAATAGTACTAGAAAATAGTAAACTGACCGTAAAATGGAGATTTAATTTGCAATAAGAAAAATTTGATAGAGCAGATAGTACCTGTGAGTCCTGCAGGCAATGTTAAGAATACCACAATGAGAGCTGGGTACCCAGAGGTTACTGCTGCCCGTATCAAATATCACTCTGAACATCTGTGGAGGTGTTCCGATACCGACTTCACCGAAATACTGTGCATTCATTACGTCTTTTAGCACTATGTCTGTCTTGCCTGCCGAGTAAGTTAATGAAAAATATCTGATCAGCTAGGGAAACGATCGCGATATTTTAATGAACATACCTAAATTGAGGGATTACAAATAGTAATACGTTCAAACCCGCTACAAGTTGACAGATTTATTAGAAAGATGTGTTTGATCCTCCCATTTGTTGCGTAAATTAGATTTTTGTCTTTAAGATTTCAAGTAACATATCTCTATTACTTTATTTCATTTATAACTCATTCGCTTCTTAAAACTACCTGGTCACTGAAATTATTTACCTTTTAAAGCCTCTTTCTTGGTGTGATCGTTTAATCTCTCTATTTCTTCAAAGCTCATGGAGGCCACAAGGTCGTCCATTACGGAGCGGGTTTTCTTGAGCTGGAACCGGACTAGGCCAGATGTTAAGGTGACCAGCAGAAGTATAGTCACTGAAATGTTAACTATTTCATAAAGACAATCTAACAGAGACAAAACACAATTCCTGTAGATTGCAATTGTAGAGATATCACTCTGAGATATAATTATAACGACTTTTTGTGGTAAAAACTTGCGAAATAAGTGGAACCACTAACCTGCTCGGAACATTTTGAAAAAGAGTGCACTGGAAAATTGGTGCAGAGAGGAAACTTATAGAGTTAGATTGTAAGTGTAACTGGGCCCCTTTTATCCTGTTTTACGCTGGGGCTCGTGACACTTTTTGGGACACAGATAAGACAACTGGTTAATGAATACCGGGGTTGAGTTACCGGACATTCCTTAAAACTAAAATATCTGCAAACACAGACATTACACGTGACCATGATTACATGTAACCATGGTTACATACTCGTAAAATGAAAATAATCAGTTGAAACTCAACATTCACAGACATGAAATAATAACATTAAAACATTAAGACGAAACACACACACACACACACACACACACAACTGCAGTTACCAACAGTAACTGGAAAAATCTGATACTCTGCTAATAAACTAGTTAAGTTAACTCTGCTAATAAACTAATAAAGTTAACTCTGCTAATAAACTAGTAAAGTTAACTCTGCTAATAAACTAGTAAAGTTAACTCTGCTAATAAACTAGTAAAGTTAACTCTGCTAATAAACTAGTAAAGTTAACTCTGCTAATAAACTAGTAAAGTTAACTCTGCTAATAAACTAGTAAAGTTAACTCTGCTAATAAACTAGTAAAGTTAACTCTGCTAATAAATTAGTAAAGTTAACTCTGCTAATGAACTAGTAAAGTTAACTCTGCTAATAAACTAGTAAAGTTAACTCTGCTAATAAACTAGTAAAGTTAACTCTGCTAATAAACTAGTAAAGTTAACTCTGCTAATAAACTAGTAAAGTTAACTCTGCTAATAAACTAGTAAAGTTAACTCTGCTAATAAACTAGTAAAGTTAACTCTGCTAATAAACTAGTAAAGTTAACTCTGCTAATAAACTAGTAAAGTTAACTCTGCTAATAAACTAGTAAAGTTAACTCTGCTAATAAACTAGTAAAGTTAACTATGCTTAATAAACAATTAAAATAAGATTAAATTCTGGATCTTCTCCAGGTATAACAGCGAGGCCATTGCCCTCATGATGGAACTAGCCATGATATTAAAAGATCAGTAAAATCACATAACTTTATCAGTTTCTTAAAAACAAACCAGCTGCAGACTTATCCTCAGATTTTACGGTTTATTTCTTTAATTAGAATTGAAAACCAAACAGGTCCTTTGCTATCTTTCTCAAATGAAACGAAATACTGAAGTTATTGTCCTTATTTATCTTATTTCGATTTCGGTACTTGACTAACAGTGTTCACTTCGTCTCTTATACAAAACATTGAGAGGAGCTTTTTAGGAGCCAAAATATCGCACCTTGTTATTTAATGTCGCACCTTGATCTTTGATATTGATCTTTGATCTTGCGCTCAGAAACCACGGTAAACATCTTCCGGTTCTTCTAGCTCTCTGAAATTAATCAATTTATAGATGCTTACCTATTGTTTAAACTGTAATTAGAAGCCTAAACTATTCCTCGCGCTTGTAGTTCTCTGAAATTAATACTATTGGATGTTTAAACTGTAATTAACTAATTATAAGCTTAAACTATTTCTCGCACTTGTAGTTCTCTGAAATTAATACTATTGGATGTTCAAACTGTAATTAACTAATTATAAGCTTAAACTATTTCTCGCGCTTGTACAGCAGGATGTCAGAATTATTGGCGTGTTTGAAATTTTATATGTATTTTATGATGAAATCAATATATTTCGACGGGTCATAACTTTAGTTTTACTTCTGAATATCGAAATTACAAAATTCAAAAACTGGTCTGTAGACAATCGTTTGAACTTTTTCTTCATTTCAGAATTTTGTGTTGATGTACCTCAAAACCCATAATTTAGGCCGTTATTTAAAGGGTCGATTCCATACTTGGTTAAATTTACGAAGGAGTAAGGGATTAATGTGTAATTTTTTTTCGGTGAATTTTTATTAAAATTATTCTTTAGACTAAAGTGCACAGCTCTTCAGGCGATAGTGAAACATATAGAAAACTATAGATTTCGGACTTCGTTTTTTAAAATGAACTGTAGTATAAAGGGATATCTACCGAATGATCAAGACTCCATAGGAAACTGACCCTCAGAAGTCAAGTAATGATCGTTTCTAAAAGCTAAAATTTCACGCAAAATTGTCTACGCGCCAATAATTGTAGTATCAAGTTGCAAAAATCCCAACAAAATCTCGGGCAAGTGACCCAATCAACTCTGAAAAAATAATACTATTTATAGATGCTAAAGGTGACATGTACACCAAAACTATTAATCATTTGGCCAGTGATATGACTTAATATTCGGAAAATACATACCTTCAGATTACAGAAACAATAAGTTTTGGCACTATAACTGATACTTTCGGAATTATAAGCATTTTCACCCTGATTTTTTTGTGAAATTTGATTTGGAGATAGCAATTGACCAACAAACTAGGGCCTGTGACCGAACTTTTGAGGGGGTTACGGACTCCAGGTGCCCCGCCACCGGTGACCGCGGGACAGCCACACCCATTTTTGGTCCCAATTATGCCCAATTATGCCAAATCACCTAGACATGCTCAAAACCCAGATTTTAGGTAGTGGTCCACTGAACTCGTATATGAATTTTCATTAAGATTGGACAAAAAATGACTAGGTTATGAGCTAAAAACTATATGCCCATATTTGGGCATATGCACCAAATCTGATCGATTTTGGCCCATAAATTGGTCAAATATCAATATTTTTGAATGAAATGTCCGGCAAATTTCAGAATTTGGCCGGAAACTGCACTGACAGAACAGAGCTTGAAAAAGGTTGTTGAGGGTGTTGTTTCGGAAAAGGAAGTAGAAATTTTCTCATCCTTGGTGACGCGGATGAAACTACCCGATAAAAGTAATGAAACTGTTTCAACAGATCGACGTGAAAGTATAGTAAGTGAAACCACGCTTTGAAGCTGCCAGGATTGGAAGGAAATCAGCCGACAAGACCACACTTGTCAAAATATTTTTAACAAATTCCAATATTCAGATATTATTGAAATCGAAAGACCTGAGACTGAGTCAGCACCACAAAACTGTGTTTATTTCTCTAGATAAGTCACCCGAAGAGCAAGCCAGACACCATCGGCTCGTTTTGGAGATGAAACTCAAACAGAAGTCAAAAGAAGACCCGATTACACGCTATTATATCAGAAGTGGTATTATCTGTTGCGAGGTCAAGATTTTACACTCGCCCTTTCTTTTTATATAGCCGCTCTGACATGGTTAGTAGCTATAATAAGCACTTGTACCTGCTTCTATCCACGTGGGGGCATGACCGGGTTATAAGTGCATTATTTCATTTTATTTTAAACACTTTTAATTATTCTTCACTCAGCCTTAATCGGCTTCAAGCTTGTAACTTGGTCATATATTTTTCAATCAAACAATCCTTCGGAAAGCTTCTTGCGGGAATTACTGAGTTAATGTGAACGTTCAATAAAATAATCAGCTCAAAACTTTAAAAAGGTTATATCACCAGCAATAACGGTGTATGTCCTTTTAAACTTAAACTATTACTCGCGCCCAAACTTCATTACGAAAGTTAGGTTTCTGAACTCTAGGAACCAAGTTAAACAACCTCCTATATAGAGCTCTCGGCCCGGTATAGTCTGGCCGGTCAATATAGTCTGGGTTGTCGATAAAATTACCACTTTTAGGTTCGATTTTACATAGCATTAAGTAGAACATACAAGATCCTGTTCACACATTATATCCATTTTCTGCATGTCTGACCGACCGCACAACCCCGTAAGACCAACGTTTTAAGACAGACGCTGTTCCATTAGCAAAAGTTTAATTGAGCACTCAAGCAGCACTCCATTGTTAGTATTATACTAAAATATTGGGATTCTACTAATTCATTCTCCAAAACGCAATCACGTGACTATATGGCTATATAACCCCGTGATTTCATTGGTCACCTTAACAACGCGCAGCATTTCACTGGTCACCATTACAACGCAACGCAATTTGTTCAATGTACGTAGTCCACCATGTCATCCCTCTCCATATATGAATATCCGGTATCCCTGTCCCGGCTCACTAATTACAGACTTGAATATATGTCATGTGGGGAGGCGAGACTACTTCTGGATATTGAACCAATTGTGAGTCAGGTTTCAGAACACTTTATATATTGGTCTGGGATAGTAAGTGAGAATAAGTGGGAAGAGCCATGAGCCCCATATATGAGATAGGAAGGCCAATGAGTGCCAGTTGGTATTTTATTAAGTACTCTGCTTTAAACACTTCCTACCTAACCATGTGACTTATGTTGAGTCTCGTCAGGACTTGACAGGGCCATCTTCTGACCACCCCACAGCGAAGTAAAGTCTCGCTCCTTGCGCCAGCACAGCAGAGAGTTCGTATTTACACTTGGAGGAGTGGATCCCCTGATTGGCGGCTTATCAGGGAGAGACAACATGAACTTGGTGAGCTTATTTTTGAAGTGCTCGAGATCTTGAATGACATTCAGATAGCATTTCACGATTTAGGTCCCTGAACTGCAAATGAGTTTCAAGCCTTCGGCGTAAAACAAATAGAACGTTCAGATCATTGCTGGTCTTTCCGTGGAAGATTTTCTGCGTGTGGGGAATGATGAATCGCTCTCGCCTTCCGCCTCCGTAGAAGAGACATCAGAGATAGGTGGATCAGGTGATCTCAGTAGTGGAGATCATACATTCATGAGGTTTTAGCGGTGAATGCTTTCTATACAATGTCCATTTCTTGGATATCGTTGATTTTTTAAGGATGCTATATCGGAGAGCAATACACTGGCGAGCGTTATAACTGCAATGGTTTGTATATGGGGGACATAAAGAGATCACTGAATTTATGACAAATGTACTCTAATTTGTCTTCGTGAAGGGCTGCATTATTTCTCTTTGAGGCCACTGAAGGACTTTGGTTCCTTTAAATCTTTATCACCAGAAATTTTTAAAGATTAAAACAGCCCCTCGAAATTTGTCGAAATTACCGTAAATAGAATATGTAGTTGTACCAGATATACGTCAGTGATCGTGACGTATTTTAAACGGATCGTTTTTAAGGCGGGCCCAGTGTAATTTGCTATTTATAAACCTATCAAAAGTTCATGTCGGAGTCTTTGTACCCCAAAATCTTTTGTCGACCGAAAGTTAAGTTGGCCGGGATGTGGACATTTTGCTGCTGAATCGGACAATCTATCGTAAAAAAAGATCTAGTATTAATAATAATTCGGGAAAAAGAACGCTCCTCCGAGTTCTCATGCCCTCCCCCTCCCGTATACTCATATAGTGGGGTCTGCGGGTCCCTTTGTTACACCACTTCTTGGAATATTCAATTCCAAGAACTTCCATTTTCCTAGAATTAGATGTTTCTATTCCACTTACAGTTACTAATACACTATACAGCGTGAACAAAGCACCATTTACTCAAATAAAATGATTTCAAGCAAAGTGAATCTAAAAAGTTCTGGTTTGCTGTATAAAATTTTGATTTAAGATGTTTTCTTGCTCAGGAAACTCATATTTATTTTCCGCGGAAAAGCTTGCTTTATTTGAGATCAAGCTGCGAAATTGTGAGTCCTAAAATTGTTGATCACGATTTAAATGAGTCGCGCGCGCGGCGACTGTTTAACCAGTGGCCAGGAAGTTTTCGAACGTCACTCTTTCTAAAACTTATGCCTTGTAAACGCGCCACAAAGCATATCCAGTATCAAAAATTGGTGTCGTTTAATCAAATAAAAGATTTCCCCTATAAGTCTAACCTGAGAAAGTGTATAGCCGATGTTACAGAGGCTTTGCAGGGGGAACTGTGTAAATCCATGGTCATGGAATCTACTCCTTGTTTCCTATCAGCTAAACAGCTGGTCACCCTCTGTAAATATACTTCCAGTTTACCCCTTCTGTCTTCAACTACACTTGGTACCTGTTTTAGTGAGCGGATTAGAATGTCTTACTAGGAGTTACTGGTTATTTAGTAATAGTATCCTATTGATGGACCCTGACAAGTCTCAATATAGTCAGTTATTTTGGTATCTACCCGGTTGTACCATATATTTGAAGCCAATGAAAGAGGATTGTGTTGCCGAGAAAAGCATTATACCGCTGTTTTCATTTCTTGGTAATGATGGAAAGTTCGGCTAACTTTCGGTAATTTTTTGTAGAAAGTAGAAACCGAGGCGAACCGGTCAAAAACAGCGGAACTTATTTTGCACCCCAAATCGAGCTCCTGAGTGCCTTCTTAACGGCAAAAACAAATTTGTTTTTGATTTTATTACTTATTAGGGCGCCTGGAGAGAACATGGCCTAGCTAGTTGTGTCCACCAGATTTACAAGTCTGAGGGGGTGGTGTCTGGGATGGTTCCTGAGACAACAGACACAGAAATACTTGTGGCAAATTAGTACCCGGGGCCGGGTGGGTCGATATTTATGTTTATTGTCCCTAATTACAGGTCATAATGGGGGGGGGGGGGGGGGGGGGGGAGATAGTTCTTTGTCATAGTGGTATCATACCACTGGTAGTGGTATGTGATTCTGGGTAATGAAAGTTTGCGGCGAAAAGTCTGAGGTTGTTGTCTTTGATCTTGATTAAAATAAAGTCTGCTGATTCGGGATTGCGTTGTCCTACAGTCTTACTCGATCTTAGCTATGCGGTTCTGGGTATCATCCTCTGGGCATTCGGGCATTTGGTATGTCCTCCTCATTCCACCAATCAATTTTATTCCATCATCTCTCATAGATTTCCCCGGCGTATTCTTGATTCTTCTTAGAGGGCTGTCACACCCGAGAGGCAGGCAGAAAACCTTCATGCTATCCTTTTATGGGCCATCAAAGAAAAGTGTTGATAATAAAACTTGTCGAAATAACTACCTTTCTGTTGAAATGAGTTTTTCCGGGAAGCTCTAGCTTTGAGAAATATGGCTGTTTTCCAACCAACTGAAGATAATGTGAACGATTTATATAATAAAAATATTCAATCGCATTTTATAAATTGGCACGCCGACTTAAGGTAATATAATGTATTTTTGGAGAGGTCAAAGTGTCAGCCATTTCAATCATAGCCGAGGAGAGGCCAAAGTATCAACCAATCATAACAGTAAATATTCTTTGCTTTCCCGACAAATTTAGACTATGGAAAATCGCGGAAAAAATAATAAATAATAAAACAAAAAAAAAAAATTGTGGGATTAACTTACTAGTTTGTGAAAGGACCTAAACTCAGCGTAGCGTCTGTAAACAGTCCACTGTTCGCCCCCAACTTGCACTATTATCTGAAATCATGGGCATTCTGGTGATCAGAACGATATAATGGTGAACCAGTGACGAACCACCCAATTTTAATGATATTGACAGAGAGGGCGTAGACTCTTGAGAGGGTCACGTGGTTGTTTGCTTGTTTTTGCAGTGGATGAAGGTATACGTGTTCAATGTTCATGACGTTTATAGGATTGATTTGTTGTTTGTCAGCTGCGCAAATGCCGAGTATAAAATGGGTGAGGACCTTTCATAAATTTTATTAAATATACTATCCAGGCAATGCCAATCCATCACGCGTTTACTATGATTGGTATACTCAGTTGATTGCATCTATGCTGAATTTATTCACCCCGTTCCACAACAATTGTCCTTATTTGTTATTGGGACTTTCAGATCAGCTACCTGTGTTATATCGGGGTGTGTCCCATAACTAATCACTTTCACAAAGCTAACTAAACTAAACTAGACTTAACTTAGCTAAACTAGAAGCTGTCAAGTTCTCGATAACCTAAAAATAACTTGTATTTTAAAAGTAACTTTTATTTCAAAAATAACTTTTATTTCATAAATAATTTTTATTTTTAAAATAATTTTTACCTGATACACGTGATGCTTTCTAGCTCCTTCTCCTTTTATCATTGCAGCTGGTATCCATATCTGTAGCAGTGGCGAATCTACAAGCTGGAAGTCACTGAAAATTCAGAAATTTCAGCCTCGTTAAAATAAATGTTTCTCTAAAAATAATTTTCCCAGTTTTCACATAATATTAACATGTGATAGAGCTTCTGGATTGCTGGAGATGAACAAGAAGAAAAAAACTGGAAATGTAGAATTTTAACTTTAACTAAAAAAAGGTAAACCTTTTGGAAAAGACTGGCCACAACCATACCAGGAGCTAAAACTTGGCACAGGTGTTGTAGGTTTACAACCTACCAGGACGCGCGCCGAGTCGGATATATGGAACAGATATTTTACGAGTATCACCCGTTAACACAGGTGCATCACGCAAAAACATTATGTTTTAGAATTTTAATTTTTGCCTTTGTTTTTGAAATATGAGGTTAACAAAACGTTAACAAAATGAATAAATTTCAAAAATCACATTTTAAAAGATTTTAAAAGATTTTAAAAGATTTTTTTAGCACAGGTGTCACGCAAAAAAGTTCTGCTTTAGTATATTTTGATTTATGCCTTTGTTCTTCATGAAATATGAGGTTAACAAAACGTTAAAAAAATTAAATAATCTCAAAAATCACATTTTAAAAGATTTTAAAAGATTTTAAAAGATTTTAAAAGATTTTAAAGGATTTTAAAAGATTTTAAAAGATTTTAAAAGATTTTAAAAGATTTTAAAAGATTTCAAAAGATTATCTAAGATGATAATGATATGCCAGGTCAATTTTCTATATAGGCTGCGAGATCGGTATTTTTTCAGTTATAATCTTTAGAGAAGATTTCAACTTCTGGTATCATTAAATACTTCCATCTCGATTTTAATCATATTTTATATTTAGTTGAGTTATGTGGCCATATCTTTCTTACGCTTTCGCAAGTACCAATTTTGCACTTATTCCAAGATCTCAGCTTCTGATAGGAGCTATGTGCTCATATTGGTCTTTATAATGAATCATCACATTGAGGATGCAGAACGTTGTTTCAAAGTCCGTAGACTTAAGCTATCACACCACACCCTGTTTTTGCGCTCTCGCGAATAGTAATTTCCGCATTATCTGGGCTTCGAAACCCTAACCCTCATATCTGATCATAACCCTAACCCAATCCTTAACAAAAGCATATGCTGAAACCCTAACCCTAACGAGAAATTAGACTAACTCCCTTGTACGGTCATATCACGTGATCGAGACAGTTTTTCGATTGTTGGTTTCAACTGTCGGGGGCCTCTTTAGAACAATCTTGAAGATTGACTGTAGAGTGATTTAGCAAGCTCGTACTTGCTGATGATTTCAAGGACTTATTTCTTCTAGGTGGACGTGTATAACTGACGGTGTTGCAACAATTAATCAAAGCACACTTTTCTTTGAGCATTTGCATCTCCCATCACATCTTTTGGCAATTATATCTTTGTTATGAAGGAAGAAGGAAATAGTTTACTGGTATGGTTCCCCATTTTATAGTATCGATTAATATTCACAAGGATCCAAGTGTACGTAGTTTCATGTCCATTGTCCATATTAAAGTGAGTTTCATGTGTAAGAAAGTACAGCCCTCGTGTCCACCTCTTAAAAAAGTAACGCTCTTTTGTCGTCCGCCCTTTTGTCGTCCGCCCTTTTTTCGTCAGCCCTTTTGTCGTCCGCCCTTTTGTCGTCCGCCCTTTTTGTCGTCCGCCCTTTTTGTCCTACGCCCTCATGTCATATACCCTTGTCACTGAACTTCATAATTGCACACCACTTACCAAATTCAAATAACAATACCACTTCACCCAATCACCACCCCCCCCCCCCCCCCCTTTAATCACGTGACCCACCTTCAATGATATCGCGTATTTACTGTAGCTTACCTGCCAATTTAAAGATTATATTAATATACGAGCCCGCTTATTATATGAGTACACGTACTGTATTAGCACACGTACATATCAATATACTCTTACTCTCTTACAAGCAGTTCATATAATAATCTTGTGGTACTGGTAAAGACACCTTGCATTCAACACGTTAATTTTCAGTGATAGCGATCGAAAATAATAATTAAATGATGTATGTGACTTTGTGTGCACTCTGATGACGATGTTCATCATCGCAATTATATTTTCTGTTTAATCAACATCGTCTAACCTGGTTAATTGAAAATCTCGGGCAGTGAATTTTATTAAATATGTTTGCAGGTTCGAGTCAGCTGCTAAGCTTTCAATACTAACAGGGGTTTATTTAGTGTGTTAGATTTGACATGAGGGTAATTGCTCTTAATAGAGTTAAATGCAAGTCATTTGAGAATATTTAGTTGTATCTGTTTGAAGATCTTTCAACTTTGAGGCAGCTACCAATAAAGTTCTTAGGAGTATTGCCTTCAGATATTTTGAACTTTGATATCTTACTATGTATAAATATATAGGTATATACTTATATAGATATGAATGGATGGATCCGTACCATCACGGCATCAACTTTAACGCGAGAAAAAAAACCGTGAAAGATATACAACTGAAACTTTTTTAGAATTTAGAGTTTTAGATCCCAAAATTTGGATCCCCAAGTGGTGTCAAAACATACATACATACATACATGCTACATGAAGAGGTCTCCTCCTAGTCGTTGGAGTGGCCTGCATCACACACATCTCTTCTACGGCGTAACATGTTCCTCCATTCCACTCGCTTTAGAGCCAACTGTTTTACTGCATCTCTGCTGATGTTATCGACACCTGTAAATTCAGCCGCATCCTCGAGTACACAGGCCATCCAGCCTTTGCGGGGTCGTCCTCTCAGTCTCTTTCCATAGTTTGGTTTCCAATCCAGTAAGAAATTGGGGATCCGCGTCTCTGGCATTCTGACAACATGTCCGTACCACCTTAGTCTAGCCGCACCGATGAAAGTTTCGATAGACTTAATTCCAGCACGCCTGAGAACTTCTTCATTGGAGACATGGAAGAACCACTTTATCTTCAAGATTCTTCTCAGGGAGGTCAGATGGAAGACCTCAAACCGTTTCATCTGCTTCTTTGTTGTGTTCCACACTTCAGCTCCATATAACAGAATAGTAATAACAGCAGCCTTGTAGATACGGATCTTGGTGGGCGTTCTTATAGTTCGACTGTTCCATATCTTCCAAAGCTGATGGAACGCACCATTAGCACGCTGGATCCTGATGTCAAGATCTCGGTCAATGGTACCATCCCCACTGATGTTGGCACCAAGATAAACAAAGTTGCTGACCTGTTCAACAGGTTCTCCCTCCACTGTTAGCTTTATACTGTCTCTTTCGGTGTAAGGTCGCTGGGACGCACACTTGCTGATCGCCATGCATTGTGTCTTTTTAGCGTTGATCTTCAACCCAGCATAAGAGGTGTAATAAGCTATAAGATCAGTGGACTCTTGCAGCCCTTCTTCAGTATTGTCCATCACTGCCAGATCATCAGCGTAGTCACTATCCATGATAACTTTTTCATCTGCACCCTTTAGTTCCTTTTGCAGTACAGCACCATGACTGATTGCCTTGTGAACCTCGGCCAAAAAGATTCCAAAGTTCAGACAGAAATTAAATACAGGAGGGCCCTGGATATCACCCTGTCCAGTGCCCGAATTAACAGAGAACCAATCAGACATTTCACCATTAACCCTGACAGCACTCATGGTTCCGTTGAAGAATGCCTGAAAGATTCTAACATATTTCTCAGGAAGTCCATAGTGTCTCATGCTTGACCAAATAAACTCTCTTCTGATGGAATCAAACGCTGCCTTAAAATCAATGAAATTAACATAAAGTGGAATGTTAAACTCAATGCAGTTGTGAATAATGGTGCGGATGGAATAAATCTGATCAATACATGAGCGGTTCCGTCTGAACCCACACTGATTTTCCCTAAGAAGACACTCCATTCCAACATCCAGCCTCTTAAGAAGAACCATTTGAAGAACCTTAGAAGACGTTGCCCTAAGAGTTATACCCCTATTATTGCAGCAGTATGAGGTGTCTCCCTTCTTTCCGATAACCACTATAACACCTTTAAGCCAATCCTCAGGGATCACCTCTTCCTCCCATACCTTTTTAAACAGTAGCTCTAGTTGGCCAACAAGAGCACTTCCACCATACTTGAGTTGTTCATTAGTTATCTCATCAACCCCTGCACTTTTGCAGTTCTTCAGTTTCTTTAGAGCATAACTAATCTCATCTCTAGAAGGAGGTCCATCAGAACAAGAAAGGTAGTCAAAACTCGGTTGTGAGGGCACACCATCGAGGTCATCAAGATTGGCATCCGATAGTGGAGGATTTAAGAGCTCAGTAAAGTGCTCCTTCCACCTTTCCTTCTGACTGTCCGGGTCTGTAATAAAATGACCATCCTTATCCCTAACTGACATACCCACTTTCTTCTTCTTTTTCCCAGAAATCTTCTTTATCTTATCCCAAACTTCCCTTTGCTGGCCTTTCTTAGAAGCCTCCTCTAGATCAGTCGCTATTTTAGTAGCCCAGTTGTTGTCGTCAATTTTACAACTTTTCTTAACTAATTTATTAAGTTTAGAGTAGGCTGATCTATTGACGTTTGAAGTGGGATCCCTCCGTTTGAACATTCCCCGTTGCTCTATCAAGTTCTTAGAGGTTTGCGAAAGGTGTTGTTCTTTAACCTTCCGGGGACGCTTTCCAAGCACTTCCATCGAGACATCAGTGACTGTCTGCTTGAAATTATCCCACATGTCTTCAAGGTTGACCTCATTAGCCAGACAATCAAAACGGTTCTGAAGAGCCACGTTGTACTCTTGAACCTTAGACGAGTTTCGCAAATGTTCGATAGCAGGCACATCGTGCCTTTTAGCAGTGATCTTAGCTACCGACTGCAGTTTGATTTGCAGCCGTCCACGAACAAGATAGTGATCTGAACCAATGTCCGCCCCACGACATACCTTAACATCGAGTAGCGAGTGTTGGAATCGTCCACTAATACAAATATGATCTATTTGATTCACAGTTAACCCGTTGGGAGACCGCCATGTACCCTTGTGGATGTCTCTATGCTGGA